TACACGGCAGCGTCTTGACAGTGACACTCATTCAGACAGTGACACTCATTTAGCGGATACTTTTATGTACTTGGCGTCGAGACGCTACCGCGTCTCTTGATATAAATATTTTAGGTTGTATGTGTGTAACTAAAAAAGTACAAATTAGTGAAACGTTCTGTTCAGTGTGGATACACTTGATTTATTATGTCAATCACGTATTGTTGTAACCGTCAAAACCTATTTCGANGTTTCATACTTACAGACTTATGTGATTCTTACAATTTGTTTAGTAGTACAAACTAATTTAAACATTCANTTTTATCAAATAACATTTACTTATCTCAAAAAAAAACACTCAATTCCTTGATTTATAATCTAATGTATCTATGGTTCACTCATAAACGTGAATACAAGATGTAGCATAGCATAATGACAAAAAACAGTTTGATACTTTTATGAAGCCAGTCCATTTTGAAACATCAATAATGGCAGTCCATTAACACTTTTTTATCGTTTTTATCACTTATAATATATAACATCTTATCAAATATCACGCAGTTTTCGCAACAAACTCGTTTGGCATTGGTTTTTGTAAAACGAATATTAACATGCTTTTGACAATACAGCTCATGAAAATGACTTAATGTCAGCACTTCCGTTATGACCTGTTGCTACNAACGTCACAAAGACCGATCAAAGTGCGCACGTAACTTTGCAATATCATGTGAAAAATGTTTCTATCCGAGAATGGTATATGCAGTATTTTATTATAATAATCTGAAGTATTTTACGCACTAATATTGTTTCTTAACGAGAGACAAGCACAGAAATTTGTACAAAACACTCGAAATTGATACAAAAATAGAGTGACACTTTTGCAGTGATCATTTTAGTCGTTTAATCTTACGTTTTACGATAACGTCTGAGTTGTTCTAAGCGACTCATATCTTCATTAAGCAAGTAGAGTTTAGTACTAATAATGCCACGTCTGAAATAGAAGATAATAGTTACTTATTAATCTAATTTTTAAACAAAAAATCAATTTTATTGACATAGCAAGTATTATTCTAATAAGATTGCATACGTAGTACATACATACTCGCATGCGTGAGCTGTAATACGCACCTTAAAATTTCTTCTGTGTCAAAATTCAAAATATTATTATATTCAAAATCTTTTTCATTAGCAGCGCTCAAATTCTCGAAAATGTTTATTAAATTTGTGGTATTAAACTGCCAGAAGTGAGTTACAAAAAAGGACAGTGCACAGTTTGACATATATATCCTTCGTTGCAACTTCAGTAACCTACATAAATCATAGTATATACATTACACTTTCACTTATAACACAAAGTTCAAATGTGATAATGCACATTTTTAAATATGTGGCGTGTAAATATCAAGATTTTAAAATAAAACTTACATCGGACGCAAACGTAATATTTTCAGCACAGTATCTATGAATAATGCCGGCACAATATGTAATACTAACACCAATATGTAATATACTAAACCACTATTTGTCATAATCGTATGTGGTTTCCAAATTGTTTGTTCCAAAGGAATATCATACACAACACGAAATGATTCGCGTATTAACTTTCTTAAACTTATGCTTTTCGTGTTGTTTATAAAGCAGTTGTAAATGTGAAGACTATTATCTTCGGAGGTGCTGAGTTGTAAAACATAGTGTGAAGTTTAATTTTCTACATTGATCGAAACAAGTAAGTTAAATACTAAAAAGTGGCTTTATCACATGCGTACTTTTTCATTCCGCGTTTCCAAGCTGCGATAATCATTACTTTAATCACTATATCTATCGGAATAAAATCGGAAAATACATTAGCATCTAAGTGCACCACACGTAAAATTCCGGTTCCACCAGCAGTAAGCAAGCCCACAGTTCCGTAAAAATTGTCAATTCAGCCTGGTACAGGATCAATGACTGATGATATGACTATAGATGGTCTAAGGATAATGCAAGGCAGTGACTCGGAAAAATCATTTATCACTTGCATGGCTAGTCTTGCATGGTTAATTCTTTAGTATCCGGACAACATCTAAGGTATTTTTCACATTATTCTCTCTTTACCCAAGAAATCTGTACTACCAGGAATCAAAATACTTCGATGGGAGTAAAAAGTAGGTATAAATGTAGTATCGTCTTCACTCATAGTAACTAAAATATTCAAACCAATTGTAAAATAGGCACAACAGAATATCGATTGGCTTGCGTTGGAACAGTAGAATAATGAGAAATGGAAAATATTATTAGTAAGTAAAAGCTTGATGAGGTAAAGAATTTGACCCTCTAAACGTCAGTCAAGATTATTCAAGATTTATAACGAATAAAAAGGAACAAAAACATTTATTTGATCAGAATGAAGATTGTAATATACTCTAATAATTTGTAATTGAATCTACTAAACAATCTTTCATATCGAGGTCAGGTAGTAGTTCGTCGTGAGGACTATCAGATATCGCACATGTACGTGATAACATGTTTATTCGTTTTTATATATTACAATTGTAAATAATTTTTTTTTTAGATTGGTGTTAAGTAATAAAAGATGTTATTTTGTTCGTAATTAGAGGTGTTATATTCTTCCACGTATAATTACTTATTGGCTTGTGAGGTTCAAAATCGCGGAAAAGACAACATTCTTATCAAGAATACATATGTATATGTTTATACGGTGACAGGTAACAACCGACTCTCTCTCTCTCTCTGTACATGTGACGTTATCTCGTCACTTCGGCACTTGGTTATATACACATACAAGCGATACATACATAAAAAAGACAATTTTCGCAACCGTGTCAGTAAATACAACCACCCAGTAAACACAAATATATAACAGCAACATTGTCGTAATAAAACAACAAATGNAACAAGTAATATAAGATGGTCGTTGCATGTAACATCCATGTTAGTTGTAATTACCTATTTATCGTATATTGTAGTTATATAATATGAATATAACATCCCTGATAGCCAAGCATGTTTTGCAAAATCATGTAACTTAATGCTGAGCTGAAGTTTTCAACTAGTTGCTGTGTATTTGCTGAATACATGATGCATAGTCATACGTAATCGACAACACGAAGGCAAATTTGAGACATTTTGTGTCAGCAGATTCAGAGC